CCCTGACGGGGAAGGGAACACTTCCTTACTGATAGTGGATCTGAACACCTCTGTCTGCATTATAGGACATTTGCCATACCTTTTTTTTCTTTTTCAATGAAATTTGGTGGATTTTTTTCCATATCAATCAAACAGATGTAATTGTTACTCAATATTATAGTAATATGTTGCCTTACTAACTTGGTTTCATTTCCTAGGAGGTTACTATAAGGTAAAATTACCCCCATTTTTAAAGATGTAATGTATTTGCTTGAACAAATAGGCATCATAGAAAATTTACCCTATCTTTCTTCATTGTCAAAATAATTCAATGGGGCTTCCTTATTTTAGTCAATTAGATGTAGTAGTTACTTGATAGTATAACATTATTTGGCTTTACTTACTTTGTTTCAGTGACCAGAAGGTTATAACTAGGTAAACTTACCCAAATTTTCAATGATTTAGTGTGGTAAAGTTATTAATAAGGCCTTATAGAAAATTAGCCATTATTTCTTAATTTTCAATGAAATTTGTTGGGATTTTCTTATATAAGTCAATTTGATGTAGGTATTACTTAATATAATAATACTATGTTGCTTAACTAACTTTGATTCATTTACCATGAGGTTATAATCAGGTAATATTACTCCCATTTTTAATGAATTAGTGTGTAAGATTGTATTATAAGTTATACATCATAGGAAATAAGCCATAATTTTTTGAATATTCAATGTAATTTATTGAGATATTCTTATTTTAATCAATTAGATATGCTTGTTAATTAATATAATAGATTTATGTTGCACTTATAATTCTGTTTCATTTCCTAGGCTGTTATAATAAGGTAAAAATCCCCATTTTGTAGTGAATTAGTGTTCTATCTTAAGACAGTAAGGTATCTTAGGAAATTTGCAATTACTCTCATATTTTGTAATGAAATTTGGTGGGACTTCCTTACTTTAGTCAATTAGATATGTTTGTTAATTAATATGATAGATTAATGTTCCTCTTATTGCTTTGTTTAATTTCCAAGGCTATTATAATTAGGTAAAATTTTCATATTTTGTAGTGATTTAGTGCATTATCTTGGACATTTAGGCATCTTAGGAGATTTGCAATAATTCTCATATTTTGTAATGAAATTTGTTAGGACTACCTTATTTTAGTCAATTAAATATGTTTGTTTATTAATATAAAAGATTTATGTTATATAAAAAAATTCTGTATCATTTCCTAAGAGGTTAAGTTTAAGGTAAAATTACCCGGTGTATCAACATTTTATGTGGCACCGCGGCTTTCTTTAATAGTTGGGGTCCACATGGAATTTACTATAACATTTATATTTTTCATGGACAATTATTGAAATCTTCTTTTTCAAGTCATCTAATTAAAGCTTTTAATTAATAAAGTTTATTTGGATTGAGTTATCAATTACATTACTTTTCATAGGGATCTTGTATTAAGCTCTTTTTAATGAACTGACCTACCTATGAAGCATAAAATTGATATTGTAGGAAAATTAAAATTACAATCAATTGAAATTGTACAGGTCCCAAAAGATATAAGTATGCAGAATGGGTTTTTGTAAATTTATATAAATACATAGGTTATATTTAAGTATATTATAGTTAGAATTTTATCAGTTATGAGGTTTATAACTTACTTGAGGGAAGTTAAACAAGTGACTTGGGACTACAGCATACCTAGCTGAGAAAAATCTTCAAAGAATTATAATTATGGTTATATATTGATAGGTTATATACTTTTAAGTTAGCAAAGGGCGACACAGGCTCATCTCGGGTATCTCAAAGGGGTATTATGTTAAGTAATGATTACGGATTGATAAACCTTAAAAGTGATTTTAGATAATATACAGAATAAAAATCAAAAAAGCTATATATGTTTATCAAAGTGGGTTATATTAAGGACCTCATATAAGATTAAGATATATTTGAGCCGCATCACAATAAAACCAACATAATGGGTTTGCGACCAGCATGGATCCAGACCAGCCTGCGCATCTGTTCGCTAACAGTGTCTCTACTTGTTATACGGTTTGCAAGTGAACAGCATGGATCCTGATCAGACTGTGCGGATATGCAGCTGGTCTGGATACATGCTGGTCGCTATACCACTATGTTGGTTTTGTCATGACGCGGTTCATTTTACTTTTAACATGTAAACACTGAACTGGATCGGGAAAGAAGGATTGACAATTTTATTAAGATTGCTAAAAATAATAATTGTAACTGTTTTTTATTGTACATAATAGGAATATTGCTATATCATTGTATTCTCTTTGTTTGTTTGGACTGGTTGAAATTCATAGAAATCCAGCTGGGTGAATTTAATATAAAATAAGAATAATATTTTTAAATGCATGGAAAAAATATGCTGGATTATATTAATATTTTGACCGAACTGCATACCAAAAAGGCAGGCAGTATTAATAGAACAATAAAAATGACAATCTCAATACTGTGGATTATTACACATTTAATAGAAACACAGAATTACAAAGGGAATACCTAATCAAGGTATCATTATTTAACAAAACATATACATGTATTTATTAAATATCATAAGTAATAACACTACATCAATATGACTGTCAGACAGATCTTGAAACAAAATCAAGGTCTTTAAAAGCTCAGGCCACATACAAAAATAGTAGTCTATGCCTTGATTATGAGCTGACAGATAGGGGAATTTTGTAAAGGGTGGCTTAGCCTGTCTGTTGTGATTACATGTCTAAAAAGTACAACATGGTATATTTTAGCCATCATAGAATTTTCTTATCTAAAAAATCTAGCTATTTTTATTTGTACAAAAATATAGAAATAGTACAATGTATAATTAGTAAAATGTTCACTATACATGTACAAATAATGAAACTATTAACAAATGTCGGTACAGCCGCGGTACGGTATTTAGAGGGTCACGGGTTCGAGTCCATGTCAGGATGCACTTTTTTCTCACCCTGTGACTGACATACTGACATCAAATTAGTTCACAATGCTAAGTAACCCTGGGAATTTCGAAGAAATATTTGCATACACAGTAGGTTTAAAACTATTCAGTATTTAAACAAGTAAAACGTGTAAGCGGCCGAATAGCTCAGAGGAACTAAAGAGCCGCGGAATGGTATTCCGAGTGTCAGGGGTTCGAGTCCCTACCAGGCTGTTACATATCAATATAAATCTGTCAAGAAAAATAGGAAGGAACTGTCTAAAATAATTATCACCCTAAATAGGATTCGGATAGGATTCGGACAGTCATTGATGAAAAGTCAGAAGATGAACTTGTAAAGGGGGTAGGGTGCTAGTCTGATTACCATCATTTGATGTCTGACGAACCTGGGACATACGATAAGTTATCGTATATCCCAGGACGAACCTCATATCTAATATATATTGGTACGCATATAAACACCTGTTTGCTGAATTGAATATCAAAAATGTTGCAATTAATTAGTAATTAAATCTTATGCGTATGTAAAATAGGATTAAAACTAATTAATCTTCGGCGTAAAGCATGTAGAAACCTGACCAGTCTTCACCGCGAGGTCACAAACTTTAAAACTTAAATGTAAATATCACAATAATACTTCTTTATATAATATTTCTATTCTTTGACAGGGACACAGATCATCTCATACATGTTTAAGAAACAAGAAATTTACATCATATATCTATCTAAGATATTCTTTTACTTCTCAATAGTAACAGATGCAAAACACGGTACTTAAGCGCTTAGACGAACGCAGACGCACGCTAAATAAGAAACGCACGCTTTCAGACGCACGATAAACGAAAAACGATACACGGAAAACGATAAACGTTAAACGCTTGTAAACGATGCACGCTTGAGAAAGCGTTTCAGCAAACGCACGTTGCACGCTATACGCACGCACGTTACACGAAAAACGGACGCACGAAAAACGCTATTTTGACAACCGAAACGTTTACCCTACTGTACCTTATGGGCAAAAATTTGTACAAAAAGAACAATGCAGTCCTTAAAATAATCAAATATCCTAGCAAAAAGTTATCACATTCCCCAATATATCTAGCCCATGTTTCAATTAAACAAACAATGTCATACTTTGACAAAAACTGTATAAGAGACAGGTTACCAATATATTTCCTTGGTCCCTGTATATTCCACGATAAAATATTGATCGGTAACACAAAATTGTTATTGCTTTGGTCAACTTGAATTGTTTCCTAGGTGGGATCGCCCCTTTAATAATGGGTGTAACAATCCTTATGTTGCGAGGTTATTTAGGTATCCGCGTCATCGCCCACATGCTTATTATCATCCAATCGGGAATGTTCTGCAATTTTATAATTTACCTCTATACCACATGGTAGACCTCGTGGGTTGAATCGCCGTTAACCAATACACAAGACTGCTTTATTTACATTGTCATATTTCATGACTTGATCCTCTATGATAATTTTTATCATAGCGAATTACTGCGTACTTATCATTTTGAGGCTCTTGAAACATACGAGACCCTTATTTCCTCCTGTGACGAATTACGAGCTCTGTAAAGTCCGGTTTAAGACACTTAAGCATGTACAGCAAAATTTCCTGAACCACTAAAATGTTTGCTTTTAACTTCAGAAATGATTTTGAGAAACCCTGTAACAAGAGATTCAAAGCCAATATATCTAGCATAGTTTTTGAAAGAATTATGGACTTATAATAATTTCAAATAATAAATAAATAATTTCTGCTTAAAGTTTTTCATGTACATTAATATCTTTGAAGATTACTAATCATATTTACTTGAAATCTAATACTGTACATGTATTCTGGATCACAATTGAATGTCACTAGAGGTCACTTACCAAGGACCACTACTCTGACATGGATTTTGACTGATTATTAGACATTGAATTTGTAAGCCCGGAAAATTTTGGTCATTGGAACTTCACTAAAGACCAAAAGCCTAAAACAATAAAATTTGAAACTCTTACATAGATGAGCTGGGACACTTAAAACAGAAATTTAAGCAAAAGATGATTAAGAAATATACTCTGAAATTCATTATGAAAATCAAATTTTGTGCTATTTAAGCCTGATTTGAGTCTACAACGCTGTAATGCTTTTCAATGTTGGGTCATTATCCACACTAAGAATAATTACTCTGGGAAAACAGAGGAGAGAGCAAATGGTCTGATATTATTGGGCTATTCCTATATCTAATGGAACATTAATCTTGAGAAATTATTTCCAGTACTGTCATGCCACCTTATTGCAGTCATTGAAGGCTTAGTATGTTACATACATTTTTCGAACAACTGAAAGCATAAATTTGAAACTAAATACAAATCTAAACTTTCGGGACAATAAATGGAGGTTATTCTCTAAAACCACATTAATCTAATATAGATTTAGACTGGGTAAATGGCCTTTCGAATTATTGTTTAAGTTTTTTCAAGCAACATAATTTCTTCAGAATGACATGTATGTCATGGCTTTATTCGTTTAAAACTTACATTATTTGAAAGAAAACGGAAAATATTCACATGAAACCTAATACATGTCTTGGGATCATAATAAAAGGTCTCTACCGAAGCCCAATAAAAATATTGCATAGAATTGTACTGCCCTTCGTGAATTTAGAAATGTTTTGGTGCTACATGACTGAAATTTGGTTTTGTTTGTATTAGTTCATTTCCTTTGCACGTTTTTGTCTTTTTTTTGTTATAAAATGCTCTATTTTATATGCTTTATACATTATAGTCTCATGTAATATTGTAAAGAATGGCTATATACATGTTTTATGGTATGGTTTTATGTTGTATTATATTGTAACATGTATATAACATGGGACTTTGATAATAATAAAAGATATGAAGCCCCCGATACTCTACTTTAACAATAATGTTTATAACATATTCAAATGGTAATGGGACTAATTCATGGACAAATAAAAGAAAAGTAAAGAAAGAAAGAACACTTAGAAAATGTTGTCTGATTTAGGTTTTGGAAATTTGTGGAAAGATTCTACACTTCTCCATCGCAATTATACGTGCTAATTTCATCAATTTGTACCAAGTTAAACTTTTTTCTCTTTAAAGTTAAACAAAATGATTATGAAATTATTATTAAAACGAAAATGATAGAAACGAAGGTCTAAAAATATGTATTGAATTATCTTAATTATTTTTCATTGATTCAATTTCTTAATTGTCAGCGTTTTTTACTTTTCATGTCCATATCGCCAATATTTTGTTAAATAGATCTAAATAGTAGGATTAACAAATGTGTAAAATATTTTATTAAGTTCTAATCAAGTTATATCTTTTTTTAAATATTTATGTATAAGTCATTTATACACCATTTTCGTAAACTGCACCAATTCCTGCTTTATCATTTATCAGTATACACTATAAATCTTTATTGTCCGTTTTTGGATAACTATAACTATACACCCACGCTTATGCCAAACCGAATTTCGGCTGAAATATACATGCATGCACGTAGTTAATTGTTCCGTATGGTCGGTAACAAGTTAGAAAATCCATATCTTCATGCATTACAGGAGGGTTATCATACATTTTTCAATAAACCACAGTAAATATGTGATGTGTACAGAAAAAATATCAATGCGCGATTGAATCACGTGACAGGTCAGCTATGTTTCTCCTATGTAAACAGCTTGATTCGAC